TTCTTAAGTTGAATCTGTATGTAAGTCAGAACTGGCATCCAGATTCAGCCACGGTTGAAACTGATCAATTTCAGCAGCGGCTGAATCTGGATGCCAGTTCCGACTTACATACAGATTCAACTTAAGAACAAACCTACAGTCCCTATCTTGTACGTAACTCGGCGACTGCCTGTATTAACTAGATGGTCAAATACAGGATTCCTTCACAATACAGTTACAGAAATTGGTATGGGTATTCTCTTTTCCCCAATACTTGGTAGAAACAGGTGACACTGAGATAGCACTGTGCACAATACTGGAAGTACAGAAGCATGTCTGTCTATGATAAACTTAAAAAATAAACCCTATATATTGCTAGTTTTGTCTGTGGGATAGGGTGTGAGAGACCAAGCCTTAAACCTCAAGTCAGCATAGTAAAAAGGAGAGCAGCCTTCAATCTACTCTAAACTGCACAAGAAGATTGTCAGCCCCTGGGAAGGACTAAGAATGGTGGAGGAGAGAAAGTATAGGTAGCTTAAAATAATTTTTGCATCCTCTTCTGTGGTGCAGATTTCAGTTTTGATCTAGTAAACAATGTTGCTCAAAGTTTTCTATATAATCTCTTCCCTCAAATAACAAAGATAGAGAAGACTCAGGTTTCTTTTTAAATTCTGCTAAAGAAAGGGACAACAAATCTAAAATTCTAATTCCTTTTCCAAATGAAAGACGATAGTAGTGCTGGTATGAGGTTTTTTCCACAAATAAACACGAAACTGAAGTTCTGACAAAGTACACCATTATGCAAGATGTTATAGACAAGTGGTTCCCAACCTTTTTTATACCAGGCACCAGCAAACCCATTCACAAACCTTTGGCAGACTGGCAACATTGTATTTGCATGTTCATTACGCAAATAACGAGCATGCAAATATGTAAATACTGCATAATCACCTAGCCCCAACCCAGGCACTTGCTCCCCAGTGCCCATCACCCTTTGCCCTCTGACCCTTTAGCCTCTGACCCTTATAGCCCATCACCCTTTTCCCTCTGACCCTTTAGCCTCTGACCCTTATAGCCCATACCAACACTTTTGCCCCGTGACCCTACCATGCCCTCACCCAACACTCCTTTGTGCCCCCCCACCCCACCTCTCCCCAGGCCAAGGCTGCCCCCTCTCCCTCAGAAGTGTGGCTGTTACTGCCATGTGGAAAGGGGGAGCGACTTTTGGCAGCATGTGCACTTCCTCCTCAAGCATGTCTTGCACCCCCATGGGTAGAGGGGGGAAGCCGGAGCCCCAGCTGGCTGCCACTACCGAGAAGGTGGGAAGGCTCCTCCTCCTGCCACCGCCTCAGCCCTAGCACCATTGCTGGCAAAAGTAGCCATGCAAACAGGGAGAGCGGCTGTTGGTGGTGTGCGCACTCCCTCCTCCTTCGTGCCCCCTCCGTTCCCAAGTGCAGAGGAAGGTGCCTCCTGCTCCATCTCCTTTGGCTGTACCTCAGCCACCATGAACAGCCGGCTTCAGCTTCAGCAGTCGCTGCGGCCTCACAGCCATTGGGTTGTGGACCAGCAGCGGGCCTCCGCCCGGGGG